TGATTACAGTGTGTAAGGAGCATGCACTGATTACAGTGTGTAAGGAGCATGCACTGATTACAGTGTGTTGCCACACCCACCACACGACAAACCACCTCAGGGATGAGAACCTAAGTGCAGCCGTGTGGCGGGTGATACCTCAGCACCACAATAGTCCAAAATAAAAAGAGAAGCAAACAAAAGAGGTTTTCCTTATAGCTCTACTTTGTATTCAAATAATTAGTTAAATTTGGTTAAATTCTATAGGCATTTAGAATCCACTAATTGGTAAGGGCTGGAAAGAATTACAGCTAAAGCCAGTGTCCCTGTAACCCACAGATGGCGTGACGGGGGGGTTCCGCACATTACTGCGTACAGCGAGGCATGAAATTGGAAATTACCAACCAATTAGTCCACATATTTAACCAACATGGTACAACGTCTTTGGGGATTAAAGGGCAGCTGTTACAGTAAAAGCTCTGCATTAGCTCATGCATTATGTCTGTGAGGTCAGCTTTAATATTTGTATTTCTTGTTATTCTCCATTTTGAATTGTTGAGTGATTCTTGATCAAGAGGTCACACGAGGAACATGGTCAGAGAGGGCCGGTGAGTTTTTGGAAGAGACGGGAGAATGTTAATGGAATTCTCTACAGGCCGTTAGGAGGAAAACTTGGGGGGGGGGGCAGAACCCAACACTCTCACAACAAGCAAAATGAAGGCCCTGTTTGCCTCATATACAAGTTCACAAACTATATAACATCCATCCATCCATCCATCCATGCATCCACTTATCCAGTGCAGAGCTATGCTGTTCTCCTCAGAAAAAGGCAGGGACAGCCTGGGGAGGATGTCAGTCCATCAGAGGGAAAAATCCACAATATCAGAATGAAGCTTAATGAAAATGAAGAATAATAAACACTGTGTTGGTGAGGACCTCCGTAGAGGCAATTATTTCATAAATATCTCAGCTGCTTTTCTCAATTTTTTTCTATTTCTATACAGTACATTTCTAGAATTTAAATTTGGACAAGTTCCAAGATCTCTTGCAGTTAAAACGTGACAAAAAATGAGCAAGGAAGAATACTGATTAATATCTGAGTCAATTATCAGCACACTTTACAAAGGTGAAGGGCAAATAGTAGTAGTCAATGAAATCTGACTCATATTTCATTTAATGGTGAAAAATGGCTCGTCGCCCATATTTCTCAGAGTATTGGAGGGGGCCGTGGGTTCCGTCAGTGGAGGGTGTGATGAGGTCAGGGGGCCCAGCCACGGAACGCCACTGGCTTTGCGGGGGGGAGCACCTGCTGTAGCCGGCCAGGTGCTTCCTGAGCTGCCGCCACAGTAACTCAGCATCTCACACATTCCTAGAGCCCAGTCAGGAAAGTCTTGACAGCGAAACCTGTTTTTTCTTTCTCCACAAAATTTTTGCTCACACTCCAAAATACTCATGACATTCAACAGCCATTTCCCGCCTGAGTCAGAACGGGTGTGCCCTTCTTAACAATGTCCATGAATCAAAGAAAAAATATAATAAAGGACATTTGGTACATTAACTTTCCATTGACATCAAAATCAAAGATGTTTAAAATTCCCACGGAGCCACTATCTGATACATTTCATGGTGCAGAATTTCAAAAGGGGTCGGAATACATGCAGAAATTAAGTTCCGAAGTGGTTTCTATAGAACATTTTATTTTTTGTAATCTTATGGAGCTTAAATAAGAAAATTGCCAACATACTGGAAATACTCCGGTGACAGAGGAGAGGAAGTCTCTATACAGCCGCCACTGAAGCTCAGTTCACATGCTGCGCCTGGCGTATCACAGTCACTGCATATGTCCCTCTGTGTGCCAGTCAGCAAAGTGAGTAAATATCAGGCTGCATTGCCAGCTTTGTGATGTCAGTAAGGGCCCCTCTCAACAAGAAGCTTTCCAGCTCCTGAACTCCTGAAATCCATGTGCAAACTGATGCTCATTCAACAGGCACACAGGATACTAACTAACTGGACCAATACAAATGAGAGGGTGTTTTTTATTGTATGTAATAGTGGCATTCACAGATAATGTGTATATTACCCTATATGGGATTTTCTGGAAACTTCTGGCCCTAATTACATTCAATCTTGATGGGAATCCTGACTTGAGCATTTGAGCTTCATTCCTGTTATGATGGTGCAGTGGAGCGTGATACCGTATTAGCACTTTGTTTGCTGCAGAACACAGAACCCCGAGAGCGTCTGCATGCTGACTGAGCTCCGGCACCCCCCATCCCCATGGATCCCTGAGAGTGTCTGCAAGCTGACCGAGCTCCGGCACCATCCCCATCCCCACGGAGCCCCGAGAGCGTCTGCACACTGACCATGCTACTGCGCCCCCACTCATCCCCACGGAGCCCCAAGAGCGTCTGCAAGCTGACCGAGCTCCGGCACCCCGTCCCCATGGAGCTCGGTCAGCTTGCAGACACTCTCAGGGTCAGTCTGCACACTGACCGTGCTACTGCACCCCCACCCATCCTGACGGAGCCCCGAGAGCATCTGCACACTCACCAAGTTCTGGCGCCCCCCCCATCCCCACGGAGCCCCGAGAGCGTCAGCGCACTGACCGAGCTCTGGTGCCCCCCTCATTCCCACGGAGCCCCAAGAGCGTCTGCATGCTGACCGAGCTCCGGCGCCCTCACCCATCCCCACGGAGCCCCAAGAGCGTCTGCACACTGACCGAGCTCTGGTGCCCCCCTCATTCCCACGGAGCCCCGAGAGCGTCTGCACGCTGACCGAGCTCTGGTGCCTCCCTCATTCCCACAGAGCCCTGAGAGCGTCTGCATGCTGACCGAGCTCCGGCGCCCCCCATCCCTACGGAGCCCCGAGAGCGTCTGCACACTGACCGAGCTCCGGCACCCCCACCCATCCCTACGGAGCCCCGAGAGCGTCTGCACGCTGACCGAGCTCTGGCGCCACCATCCCCACGGAGCCCCGAGAGCGACTGCACACTGACCGAGCTCTGGTGCCTCCCTCATTCCCACGGAGCCCCGAGAGCATCTGCATGTTGACCGAGCTCCGACACCCCCACCCATCCCTACGGAGCCCCGAGAGCGTCTACACACTTACCGAGCTCCAGCAGCCCTCCATCCCCACTCGGCATCCTGCTGATCTTCTCCACCTGCTCAGTCTCAGATCGTTTGGAGCCACCCAGCGGGAAGGAAGCTGCTGTGAGAAAGTGCCCGTGTTTTGGGCCGGAGCAGGAAGCACCTCATCTCAGGCATCTCCCCCAACAATGCCGTGGCGTCACAGCTGTGCGCTGGAGCTCCGCCATTCACATGGAAAGCTGCACCTAGAATTCCATTCCCAGGTTCGGGCTGTTGGAAGCAAGGAAATGACAATAAGGTGGGAAACTGGCTAAAATTTCCTATGTTCATCCATGTTCATGGATTTGCTGGAACTCGAGAGTGAGGTATTCAGATAAAGTATCTGCATACAGCACAGCCCCCACAATGTACTCATAACTTCGAGGTAAAAGTCCCTGTGAACCTGTATCATACTGTAGCTTACAATACATATATACTGTAAAGGGTTCTGTAAAGACCTCCAGCATTAGAACAAGGGGGGAAAAAATCCCACATCTGCAGCTTGGAAAATACCATTAGTGTCAAGGGCGTCTTGTGCTACTTTGTTACCTTCATTAGCCCAGTTGGCCTCTTCCATTTCAAAGCAAATCACGAGGATGTCTGAAGCTGACTGACTTCATATATAACCACAGACTGCAGGACTGCTTACACCAGAGCGAGAAACTCTATTAGAAATCAGGATTCACATTTAAGAAATGATTTTCTGAAGCCAGTTTATGATGGCTTTATGCATATTGAAGAACTTCTCCTTGGATAAAGACACCAGTTTGCAGGACTTCACTAAAGTTAACTTCGGTTCATGCATGTGAGAATGCAACAATACGGCGAGGAGCTCGGACACTTGGGAGAGGCTCAGCGTAGAGCTGCTGCTCCTCCGCATTGAAAGGAGCCAGTTGAGGTGGTTTGGGTATCTATCTAGGATGCCTCCCTGAGGAGGTGTTTCAGGCCTGTCCAACCAGGAAGAGACTCTGCGGCACGCTGGACAGAGTATAGGAGGGTACAGGAGTATGGGAGTATGGTGGGTGATGGATGGATGGATGGATGGATTCACTCTGAGTTTGGCTAAGCCTGTCTAAAGCTAGAGGTGAACCTGTTGGACATTTTGTTGCTTAAAATACAAATAATAGATCATGTTTATTTTTCCAACTTTAACTGCCTAAAGAGACTATTGATTAATAATTATTTGTAATTGTTTTTGAGTTAATAGTTTGGAGGCAGTGGAGTCCTCACGAATGTTGATATAGCTAACACGCTCATGTGGAGAGTGGGTGTGTGTGTTTATTAATGTTAATTATTGTATTCATTATTGTAAATCTGAAGGAAAAGAACAGAAAAAACTGCAGTTGTAAACAGCTTTCGAAGATTCCCACAGAGCTGCGGGCATTAGGAAGGAGCATGAGTATGAAACCTGCGGGAGAGGAAACCAAATCAGTCCTTGAGTCCCCCCAAAGAAGGGCCTCAGCATATCTGCCCCCCACTTAGCAACACCTTTAATGGGCTGCCCCTTCTGCCGAAGTAAGCTGGAACAGTGCTGTAACTAGTAACTCTGCACGGTATGGTGGGTCGGTTCCTGTTTTCCAGTGGAAAAGCACCATTATTAAAGCAGAGCACTGGGTAGTTGATTTTCACCGCTTTGTCAGCATAGTGCTCAGTTGCGTCTTAGTCAGAGGGTTGTTTTATAGGGCTAGATGGAGTAGGTTTGTTTGTTTTCTTTGTGCCTGTCAGATGCCAGCAGGTACTGGCTTGGTGCTTTGGATGGCTTGGGGGTAAGAGCTCTTGAGTGGCATCTTGCTTTGGGGATCTATGGTCCCTAGTAGCTGGCATCCTACAGCTAGTGTGCTGTGCCACTGGTGTCCTCTTTGGATTTTTTCTATGTGTGTGTCCTGGATTTTGAGCACCTAGCCCTTTTTAGCTTCCCTGGTTCCCAGACAGGTTTTCCGGTTCTCTGCATTTGAGTCTGCCTTCTGGTTCACCTCATCCTGAAGCCATCAATCCAGTCAGAGGCCCAAGTCCCCCTGGTTCCCTGTGTCCAGTAACGTTTAGACCAGTGTTATTCAACTCACGGTCCTCGAGGTCCGAGCACTGCTGGTTTTTCAGCCTTCCTTTACCTGTCAGTCAGCTGTGAAGCCTCTGACCAATCAGAATCAGTAATTATTAAACAACTACCTGGGAGAACTGAAAACACGGCCTGGATTTGGAATCGAGGTCCAGAGTTGAAGAACCCTGGTTTAGACTGTTGGTCACAGAAGTGAGGGAGCAGAAGACCTGGTGTAATGGATGGGTGGATGGATGGATGGATGGATGGGTCGATGGCCCAGGGTGAGATGTTCTGTCACAGACCTTCTTTATGGAGGCTAATAAATGTTTTTAACCAGTAAAATCCAAAGTCCAAGTTGTGACGTCCTCTTATTTTCTGGTAAAATTTAAATGTAAAATATAAAAGATGGATTATTTATTTGTTCTATTCTTCTTAGGGGGCTCAGAAGAAAACGACATCTGGTCCTTAAAGGCTTTATTCCCTTGCGTTAGAAATCACAGGTGGCGCTAAAACATGGTAATATTTCTATAAAACCTGTGACACAGCTCAATAACCGTAAAACTAATCAATGATAACATACAAGATCTGGAGCCTTTTTGATGTTAATGTGTAAGACTGCTATTCTGATAAGCATTACCTTGCATTAGGCCTGTCTTCCACCATATTTATCTTCATTAGCGTTTCATGATGGGCAGCTGGTGATGTGGGTACTCAGATGAAACATTTCAAAATGAGTAACAGTTAGTCTCAAGCTCTCTGGCATCAGAGCCAGGCAGCAGTCTGTTAAATGGTTATGGTTTCAAAGAGGGTATCAAAAGCCTGTCCATTTGTTCTAATAGTAAATGGGCACAGGGACAAAGCAAGACATCATTACAGAAGATAAAAGCATTGAAGTCCACATAAAAATGAATTTTATGCTTTAATTCAGTCTGCAGCTTACTTCTGTGTAATAAGCAATGTTAACTAGGCTCCAGCTCACAACCCTAAGCAAGATATGGATGGATGGATGGCCGGCATGCCCATCCAATCAGGAAGCTACATCATAACAACAGAGGAGACAAAATTATGTAGTCAAATAAATAGTTCCATCCATCCATCTTCTGTAATGGTTTATCCTATTCAGGGTTGTAGGGGGTTTGGAGCCTATCCTGAAGGCTTTGGGTGCAAGGCAGACAACAACACAGGAAGGGGCGCCAACCCATCACAGGGCACAAGCAGGGAAAACCTTGGACAAGAAAACTAATACAAATAAACACTGGGGAACAATATCTAATAAATACGAAAACAGAGGCAGCTAGATTCAAACTCATGACTATGGGGTTTCAAGGGGCAAACTCAACCCATGGAGTGATGCGGCAGTTTAGGGAGCAAGGGAAACACACTAAGAACAACAGGGAGGACAGGATGGCCAGTGACACCCGCTGGCCAAACGGGGAGGAGACACGAAAGGCTGGGACAGACAGGTGCTGAACCTGACAGGTCTCAAGAATGAATAGTTGGTGGACCTAGAGATGGACAAGAACAAATGCAATCTATAACACAAATACAGTTAGCACACAGCACAGAGAACAAAACGGCAGCACAATGCATGGTCCTGACTTTGTGGTCAATGTGGGATTGCTAGTCAAACAGAAAATGCTGAAAGGCAAACTGAATACAGAACAACCTGCCCAGAGCCCAGGGTCCATGTGAACATCATTTCACACATAAGAGCATGGAGGCACTTTCAGTTGAACCTTGGACATTTTGCTAGCATTAGGAGTGATGGGGTCTGTTTACAGGACTGGCAAGCTGGATGGAAGAGCAGGACCAGAGAGAAGATGGCAGGTGCTGAAGGGAGACGTCCAGCAAGCGAAGCTTCTACACAACTTACACTGGGGATGGAAAAAAATCTCATGGTGGCATTTTGTAGAAATGCCAGTCCTCTGCTTGGTGGAAAAGGAAGAATCACAATTAGACTGTGCCAAGCAGACAACACAGCCCTCCATTGGCCCATAACATGCCCCGTAAATTTGTTTTCGAAAGTGGATCCTATATCTCACCCGATAAAATTATCATAAACCAGATAAAAATAAGTATCACAGTGCATTTCCCAAATACTCTCCTTCCCAGGTAAAGGTATAAATGCTAAAGAAAAGTCACTCAAAAGAGAAAATAATACTGAGGTTCCTCACTGTTTTATGACCCAGAGAAACGAGAGACTCTGCCCTCTAGTGGATGGGGTCTGCTAACAGTAGCATTGGTATTATTCATCCAGCATCAATTTTTTTCTATGTGTTTTATCATATTGACATATGAATTTACAGGACATTTAAAAAGTTGGAACACGAGGTGATGGCTTAGCTGGAAGGTTAATTTGCCCAGCAGCCCTAGACACTGTGAGGTTTCTGTATTAGATATGGTCATATATTTGAGTTTAAAAACCAAAACACTGTGAATGTTATTGTATATGAAAGCTGCATCGTCACACCCATTTATCTGTTTGAACACTTTTGGTGTCAAGGCATCTCATTGGCCTTGGTTTCAGTGAAGAGCTGCAGAGTGAAGAAAAACTGCCAAAAACGGAGAAAAGGAAAACTGCAAAAAGCAGAATGAAAGAAAACTGCAGAAAACAGAGTGAAGAAAATCTGCACACTGCAGCAAATAAGAGCAGACTACAGGAAACATATTAAAGATGGCAGCTGTTTGAGTTGTGGACCAATGAGACCTTGAATGTTTCAAGAAATGTGGACCCCCCTTCTGGATCATTACATGCAATGTTTAACATTTAAAATGAGATCCGGGGTCCTAGAAAAAGCTTAAAGTAAAGCTGCCGACTCTCAGTAAAACTAATCAATGTTTGCTTCCATAACACATTTCACAGAGACAAATTGAGCAGAAGTTTAAAATAAAATCTGTGTTCATGAGCTTCTATTTTTTAAAATACAGAACACACACAATTAGAAAATCTCACTGGAATGAGTACAAGCAGTGAAGCTTCGGAAAATGGTTCTCACAATTTTAAGTGGATCACTGTTTTATGCCTAATTTATATAACTGGAGGATGTTAATGATTTCATAGCACACATTGTTAATTTAATCATAATACAGATTTAAAATCACAGCCTAATTTTTAGAGGTGTATTTGTTCAAACATTTATTCACAGCTAACTTACAGTTACTGAATAGTAACATACAAACCAACACTTATTAGTTCAAATCTGCAGTGTTTATTCTGAGTTGCTTTGCATATCGCAGTTAATTGCATAGTTGATGACTTCCTGTCACCTGGGCCACAAAACATAAATATACAAAATGGATGTTTGCTCTGTAGTTAGAGAAGCTGCGTGTAACTTGTTTATGACAGATCTGTATAATTCACTTAGTACTACACAAGCAACACAGCAACGCCACATATTACCTGCAATACAGGCACGTCCTGTTACATCAAGCTTTCATGTCAAACAGGAAGCCTACTGTCTTGTACTATACAGGACATCAAAATCCTTTGTGCTTAACAACAACAGCAAGACAATTCAGCCAAGAGGCTATAGCGGTTAAATTGCAATGGAGCCAATGGAATGAATTAAGCCGACAACTGTAGTTTCGGATTATTCCTGTCAAAAAGTATTTATTATTATTATTTTGATACCGTCACAAACAGTTTTAGCTATCTCTCTGTCTGTTTTGATAGAATCGCACTTATTGTGATTGCAGACACCCCATCCCCATTAATACATCTGTGCATTAAAAATTAAACATTCAATCCAGAAACTATTTAAGAATTTACATTTTTGACCGTGATAGTCCGTCAAATACATGACTGCAATTAAAAACATTCGTTTGTAATGTCCTGTTTTTTAAACACACAAACGAAATAAGCAGCCCTCGCCTTTTATGAATTATTTAGCAGAATGCCTTTTATATTAGTCACGACCCTTTTGTTTTTAGACAAATTCTTTCTAATTTCATATTAATAAAGTTAATAAAGCAATATCACACATTACCGAATTAATCGAATCGAATTACCTATAACTTTAATGTACCATCCATCAGTCTAATCGCTTATTACGAGGGCCCTAATGCTAATAATAATAATAATAATAATAATAATAATAATAATAATAATAATAACGAACGGAAAGGAAATACTAGAGGAAATGCAAAGGCGGGTAACCGAATTAGACTTGACTCATATAGTATAAAACATTCACGTACTATATAATTTTGTAATATACTTTCTACTAATCACCTTTGTTGTTGCAACATTTTATATAAATCCAAATAAAATGTTACTGGTAAAAGCCTGAACAATTAATAACATAAATATTTTATTATGTGCGTATCTCTTGTTCGTGAGGATTTGTGTGCTTATATTTATACCTTGTACGTCTATTCTTGTGTATAGCATATTTTTTTCTTCAAAAAGATGTAATTGTTAAGACATCTGCTTCGTTCAAAACCGCAGTGAGATATTACATCGTAAATGAGTTTACCGGAATAGTGAGTGCGTCTGTATTTGGGGGGGTGTTGTTAATGTAAAGTGGGCGGGGTTTACAGATGGACAATTTATATAATGAGCTCGCGGACAGAAAGCATATATATATATAAACCACGGAGAACAACATGCCGTTTGCTTATAGAAACTGTGCGCCGGCAAGGAGCTTTTGTGCGTTTTTCTGAAGAAATTCAGAGGACATTTCCTCCTCGACCGTGCATAGGCCGCCTACTCCGTGATAATTGGGAGTGCAAAATAAGGAAAACGAAAAGCTCAGACTGGGTATGCGCATGTGAATAACTGGGATTTCAGATCGTCTGAAGTTCTTACAACTGGATGAACAATATTTGTTGTTGAAAATGGATGTGTCCACTTAAACTGTTGCTGTCAGTTTTAAAGTTTGCTGCGTGGACCTGGAATATAATCTCTCGGGTCTTTTAAAGACAAACTCGTCTGTTCTGGGGAAGTGGACAGGATGTCAGCTTGGCTCACCTTTGCGGTTGCATTTAACCCGATCGTTTTAGCACAGGTAAACTGACGTTGATTTTGAAGCATGTTTGCTGTTTTACAACATCTGTATTAGGCCTATGTAAAAAGCTAAATGTGTCTCTGTTATGTTCTGAATTAACGAAATGTCTTTAAATGATGTTCTTTTCTTTGAAGGTGTTCGAATCCGGTGTTTTCGAGCTTAATCTTCTTGAGTTTAAGAATAATATGGGGTTGCTGGCGAATGGCAATACGTGCAAACCAGACTGCAGGACTTTTTTCCGAGTTTGCCTGAAGAATTACCAGACTGTGGTGTCCCCAGGTAACTGTATCTTCGGCAGTGTCGTTACTCCCGTCTTGGGGACAAACTCTTTCAGCGCAACGGAAGGTGGCAGCGTAAACAGACTGATTCGCCTGCCGTTCACTTTCGGATGGCCGGTAAGATACATTATGCTACATTATGAAATTTTCAAATGCCCTCAGATTTCACTTAAAAATAAATAAACAAATACATTTAGCTGAGATTTTTTTTACCATGCAGAAGTCATTTGCATTGTTTTACCACGTCTGTTTCATAACTAACATGCTATTTTTCATACAATGTGTTTTAAGTTAATTTTATTGCAATATGCATTTAGAACACCATAAGACTTTTGTTTATTTGTTGTTTGTTTTAAAACTTCTAGGGGTCATTTTCTCTAATTATTGAAGCGTGGCATTCGCTTTTAACAGACGTACCTACCGGTAAGTGTTTTTATTTTCCCAGCAGAGGGAGAACTTTTTAATGTTTAACTTATGCAAGAAGTTCGAAATTTGAAATATCTTTCTTACTGTGTATAGACGTACAAGATTGTACTTCGTGGATTGTTTTTTTTTTTAGATTTGGACTTTATTCTTTTCTTATTTATTTCTGCTTTTTCTTATAATCCTGTAGTACGTCACATGGGCCTTTTGTGTTCTAGGAAAAAAAAAACAATTGCACTTCCTTTGAATTATTTTTGGCGTGGGAAAGAGATCTGTTCTTTGGCGAGAATACTTAACCTTGCCAAAATCTTAGGACTGCCTTTTCCTGTATTTTACACCTTTTACATTCCAACCGTGATTTAAATTTTAAGTATTTAATGAACGGAAATGAAAAATGAATCCAAACTGACCTAATTGCTCAAAGACTTTAACAACTTTAACATTATTTTATGCGATGAGTATAAAATGTTGATTCTGTTGACTAAATTGGTTACACTTCAAGTCCATCACCTAATGAATTGCATTGTCTTTTTTCTTTCAGGCCCAAATGACCCTGAGTTATTGATAAGCCTCTTTGCTATCCAGAGAAAGTTGGACGTGGGTGATGGGTGGCGTGAGGAGATGCAGATTGGGAGGCAGACGCAGCTCCGCTACTCCTACCGCTTTGTCTGCAGTGAGCATTACTATGGCGACAGCTGCTCCAGAAAATGCTCCCCCCGGGACGACCGCTTCGGCCACTATACCTGCACCGCAGACGGCTATATTTCCTGCCTCCCGGGCTGGAAGGGAGAATACTGTGTAGAGCGTAAGTGTATGGAAGGGGTGTGAACAGGAGCGGTGACTCACACGCAGGATACACGCAGGCAGACGTGCTAGATGCGGCATCCTGGTATCGTACGGCTTACACGCGGGGTACACGCATGCAGACGTGCTAGATGCGGCATCCTGGTATCGTACGGCTTACACGCGGGGTACACGCATGCAGAC